CTCAGCTCTTCAAGTCAGCGTCCCTAATATTTTAAGCGTCAAAGGAATGTGAGAAGTTGCAAGTTTACATCATCTTAGTGCTATTTATGTCAAGAGATAGGCTGTGAGTTACGAGTGTACATCATCTTAGTGATATTTAATATAAGAAAATTACATTTAGCCCTACATTTTAACTCATCATTTCAAAAGAAATCAAATTTTAACTACATTCTTTAAAAAATCAGATATAACCTCTCCACCCACCCCACTATGTAACCCTAATTCATTTTCTATTCAAACAAAAGGTCACTCAACTTCTCACTTTCCTCATTCTCCGATCACAAAACTTCTCACTGCTATGTAGTGACAATCATCACCTACACGCAAAATAGTGCTGTTGCGCAGCAACCAATGAGCGCTACTTTGATGCGAAGCTGTGCTGCTGCTCCTCCAATTTGCATCTGATTCGATCTACATAGTCAAAGTTTTGTGGTGTTTTTGCTGGTGATTTGCAAATGGTAGTTGAGTTGCTAGCGATAGTGATGAGGTGGCACAACATTCGATTGGTGCGATGGTGGTAGGGTGAAGAACATGGTGATCAATTGTTTATGTGAGTATGATCAATAAAATTGTTAATTTGTGATCAATAAATAATATGTGACAAATAAAAATAGATAATTTATGGCCAATAAATAATATGTGATCTAAAAAAATTTGTGATTGCGACTCACAATTTGTGTCTTTATGGTTCTCGCGCTCATATGATTTGGGACTGTGATGATAATTGTGTGTTATTGTAATTATTGATTTGTTACTGTGACATTGGCTTGTCATTAAGTGGTCATAAATGTGATCATCTAATTTTTGAAACATTTTTACAAGTTTTCTTATTTTTGAAAGTATGTCTTGAAACCTTTGTAATTATGTATTCTTTCCATTTAATATTTATGTCAAGCGATGTCCGATGTGGCTTTCTCATACCATATGGTGAAAGTTACAAGTTAGTTACCTCATCTTAGTGCTATTTTTGTCAAGTGATAGTCTTGTATCTCATATGGAACAAGTTAATCTCATATGAGTGATGGGCTCTTGCAACAAATTGAAAACTGCCTTCGTCTCAGTGCCATTCATGTCAAATTTACGTGGGGTTTATCTTGAATAAGTCCTTGGGATTTCGAAATGACAAAATGAGAGAAACAATACGTGCAACTTCTTACTTATAAGTAAAACAAGTACGCGCATTCCAAGTTTCTCGAACATAGGGAAGTGGCCCGATCCACTCGCTAATTCGTTAGAGCTCAATCCATGGTCGACTTGACAGCATAGTCATGAGTCGAGATCGATTTTGAACTTGACATGTCGAATCAAGCTCGGGTCCTATGCTATGTCGTATCTCATTTTTTTTAAATCGCTGCAAATTACAAAGAAATTGCAAAAACTCTTGTTGACAAAGCAAGAGCCAGTCCAAGCTCGACTTATTGACAAATCGGTCATGCCCATCTCGTCTAACAAGTCAAATCTAGCCCTTGTTTAATGGCTATTATTTTAAGAAAATTGAGTTTTGAATAGTAATTTTTTGGAGAATACATGGTTAAAAGGTAATTTTTTTTAAAAAAAAAAATTTATGTGTAAAATATTATATTGAAAATAAATATGAGAATTAGCGTCCGTTTGACCCCCATTATTCCATAATATAACGAGAGGAATAGTAATTTTTTTGAAAATGTGTGATTAAAAGAAAAGAAAATTTTTTCGAGTTTACGTGTAATATTATTTTTATTAAAAAATATGTAACTGATAAAATGTATGAGAAAAATAAATTATAATTTAAAAATGAACTTTAAAGAATTTTGAAATAAAGACCAGCATAGCATGAGCAGCCCCGGCCGACCTGGCCCATTGCCCCCTCATAGACCGGTGGAAATTTGTAATTTATGGCGAAATTAATTGGTGTTCCAGTTCACCGCCATTTTTTCTAGTTGAGATCGACCTGTATTATCTTCAAACCCTCTCTCCCTCTCTCATGCAACATTTCAATAATGGCGGCCACAACCTCGCGATCCCCAATCCCGTCTATGTATCCCGATTCCAAAATCCATAATCGGAAGCCTCTCAAAGCCGCACAACTATCCCAAGGACGCCTTAAAATCCCTCTTCACGCCTGCTACAGCAATACCAATAGCAAAAATAATAAAAAGTTCAAGGCAATTGACCTGCAGAAGCTCATTCAAGACTCCCCCTGCGAATTTGATTCCAAAGATTCTCCCGCTTCACTTCCGAGTATGTTTTATTTTATTATTTTACCGGGTTCGCGATTTTTTAAGTTTACTGGGGATTAATTATTGATTTTTGGATTTTCAGGGCCTTTAACGTCTGCCCAATTGTCTAATTTGAGCTCGGGAGGGTCTCGCCTCCGCGTTGCTTATCAGGTATTGACATTGATTAACCTTGAAAGCTTTGCAGCTTTCAATGCTATTAATGTATGTGGTACCATATGCATCAACCCTAGTGCCTTGACCATAACTTAAATAAGTATGTTAGTATTTTTCTTGAAAAGGGGGTTCGAGGTGCATATAGTGAGTCTGCAGCAGAAAAGGCATACCCAAATTGTGAACCAGTTCCATGTGAACAGTTCGACACAGCTTTTGAGGTAAGTTATGGAACGGCTTCATGTCTAGATTAAAATACAGATATCTGTTAATTTCTTGATAGAAATGTAGCTTCTCTTATGCTGTTTATGAACTTGATATCATTGCTAAACGGTCTTCGGTTCTATCATTTTATTTTGATAAAGTTCTTGTTCTGCTAGATATATGCTGGTATACTGCCTTCTATGTTGTTTTATGATCAACACTTATGCTCACATGCTCAATTAAGTACTGCAATTGTCATTTGGAAATTTGTTGTCTTGGTGCAGCTTTTTCTCTTAAAATGTAGTGGCGTTAAATCATCACAACCTCTCAAATACACGCCTGACAAAACAAAGAAAGAGTGAGAAGAGTGAATATAAATTAAATGACAGAGAGAATGTAGTTTGATAATTTTGATGACCAAAATGAGCACAGAAGTTGGGATATTCTTCTTATTGTTAAATTCCAATGCGACCACATATACTTGTGACAGTAAAACCTTTAACTATACTGCATAGCTTGGATCAGTTCTATGATGTTTGAAAATTTCATTCTGTTTGTCGGTGTCTATGTCTTTTATAATATGATTTACATTTACCAGACTCAACCTGAGGATGGGAGAGACATTTTATGTGGTGAGCAGCACGTTGTATTCAGTATTAATGAGATATGCATAGAGAGGACTTGAATATTATGTATTGCATGAATTCTATGTAATTTTAAAATATTGCAAACTACTCTATTAATCAGTTCTCCTTTGATGGACATCTTACGAGGAGAAATATCTGTAAAATTTATATTGTGCTGAAACTTTGCTGTCATCTATGTATTCTTTAAAAATGTTCTATATTTCTTTAAATTGATATGGCAGGTCATCCCTTCCAGAATCTACATTCATCTGTATCCTAGTCCATGCAAACATTGTTTAATATGCACTATTTGCCAAAAGGGATAAACCATTTTACATTGAACTTTTATATGTAATGGATTTGCAATCCATCAACAGACATATTGAATAAATTATCAAAAGAAGGATAAGATGAATACGTTAGGTGAGTCAAACTGCAGATTAGTAGATAAAAAATGGCCATGTCTAATTGATGAACCTGAATGATCCTTGGTCTCACCTCATCTTTTTCACCTTTCTTTTGGGTCAAAATTCTACAGGCTGTTGAAAAGTGGCTCGTTGATAGAGCAGTTTTACCAATAGAAAATTCTTTGGGCGGTAGCATCCACCGGAACTATGACCTACTACTTCGACACAGGTTGCATATAGTTGGAGAAGTTAAACTTGCAATAAGACATTGCTTACTAGCTAACCATGGAGTCCTAGTTGAAGACCTAAAAGGGTTCTTAGCCATCCTCAGGTGTGTTCATGTAATAATCGAATGCATCCAACAGAGATGTAGATCATAACCTGTATACTTTGATGCTCCAGGCTCTTGCACAGTGTGAGAGGACACTAACTGGATTGGGACTGGTCAGAGAAGCTGTGGATGATACTGCTGGTGCAGCCAAGGTGAGTAAAATTTGATAGCTACATCAATTTTCCAGATCTAATGATGTTCCATTCTACACTCTGATCTATCATTTTTCATCACATTCTTTCTTATAGCTAGTCTTGCATGGGCTATTTACCTGCAAAGGAATTTGAAACCAACATTTTCAAGTCTTGCCTAGGTTCAGGCCATTCTCCTGTCTGATTAGCTTCAGAAAAAGCACAATCAGTTTCTCTTAAAGCACAATCAGTTTCTCTTGCACACCTTGGATATTTTAGTTAGGTTTATGCTTGTGCTAAGAGAACTAATTGAGTCTAATTCGTATTTTTAACTTTCATGCTTTTGCTTTTTGAGAGAGTAGCATGTTGCTTTACATAAACTCAAGGATGCTGGAGCAGTTGCTAGCAAGACTGCTGCTAGAATATATGGTTTGAATATACTTGCTGAAGACATACAGGTAGGTTTGTGGACTTCTAATTTGATAAAATGATATTTGATAGCATGTGAAGTCTCACATATTAATATACAGGAACATGTGTATTTTATCATTTTTCCTCCTTGTTCCTGTCCAGGATGATTCTGATAATGTCACCCGCTTCCTTATGCTGGCTAGGGAACCTATTATACCAGGCACTGATAAACCTTTCAAGGTTTGCTACCGCATATAACAGCTGTAGGAACTTGAAAAGAAATGCAGTCCCTGTTTGACAAAGCTTTTTTGAGATTATAAGCTAGTCAAACTTCATTTTTAACCACATTTCATTGGACCCACAACTTTTATTTACTTCTTAACCACACATTTCATGGACCCGCCATCTTATAATCTCAAAAAAGCTTTGTCAAACAGGAGCGCATATCTTGACTTCATTATTATGCTCTCTTTGCAGTCACTGTGCACCTAGTTATTTATCATATTATTCATTTATCAGACAAGTATAGTCTTCTCACTTGAGGAGGGTCCAGGGATGCTTTTCAAAGCACTTGCTGTTTTTGCCTTGAGGAATGTTAACCTTACAAAGGTGAGTTTTTCTTTCCTTTGATCCTGTAAGTGTCGTCTCTGGTCAGTTATTGTCCATGTCTCAAATACAGTGTTAATTTTCTGCCTATGTAGATTGAAAGCCGTCCACTGCAGAAGCAGACTTTGCCAACACTTGATGACAGTGCCAATGGATTTCCGATGTACATGCACAGCAAACTGTTAACTTTTGTTATTAAATCTTGTAAATGAAGACACATAAACATGTCTACATATAATGTACTGCATTTTGTTATAGTAGACACATATTTGGTTCCGATTGACGCTTTATTACCATTCGCATCTCTAAACATCTGACTATTTTATTACTTTGCAATCACTTCTAATCAGACATCACATTCTGGCAGATATTTCCCGTATCTTTTCTATGTTGATTTTGAAGCATCCATGGCTGACCAAAGAGCCCAAAATGCTCTTGGTCATCTAAAGGTATGGTTTGCAACCATCTTAAGATCCTATGTGAAGTAATTATGTATTGTTCATGAAGTTATATAGGGTAGGCTTTTTCCCCTAATCCTTCTTGGATTAGTATTTTTACATTAAATTTGTTTGGTTCCTTTTCTTTTATGTTTTAACTAGAATTAGTTTCTACTCATCTAAACTTCCTAATTATAGTAGGTTCTAGAATTTTCTACTGGTTTAACTTTTCTAGTTACATTGGGTTTTTGACTTTCTTATTTATATAAGTTTCCTGGTTAGAATTGTTCTGAAGTCTTAAGGTTTCTAGAGCCTAGGAATAGGCCAAAATCCAACAAAACATTGATTGAAGAACTTTATTCTTTAGTCGAGAAATTCTGGTTTGTTGAGATTTAAGTCTAAAGCACTAAATCTCTAGTATTTACTTCAATCTCTGCTATTGTCCCTTTATTTCTTCAATATCTTCTATCATTTGTTGGTTTAAGCTTGTTTCCTGATCAATTTTGGTATTAGAGCAGCCATCAATCTTAATTTATCATGGTAATGCAGCAATCAAGAATTCCTAGGTAGATACAAGTTCAACAGATGGAAGGGATGTAGAGGAGCATACAGCAACTTGAGATGGAAAAATTACGTAGAGATCACGCAGAAGCCCAAAGGGAGGTACCAAAAGGCAACTGCTAACCTTTTGATCTATTGGCAGGAGGTTTGGAGGATGAAGGGGACATTTTGGTCAAGAATGTTAACCCTTTCCATGAACATGTAGCTCATGCCAATCTTAGCGTGATAGATTAGAAGAGTGGTTAACAATCTCTTAATATCAATAGGAGTTTGAAGAAGGGATGCACAAAACTCTGAAGCAAGCTTGGAGTATTGTTTCTAATGGAAGTCAATGCAAGAAGAGCACGCGCTACTCTTTGTGAAACTGAAACAAAAGAGAGTTTCCTTACTGTGATGCAAATGGTTGGAAGAGCGGTGAACTAGGCTAGGAAAACTGAATATTCTTACTTAGGAATTGATGAAGGTAAAGTTGTGAAAGTAATTTTTGCTTGCTGATAATATGATGGCCTTGTTAAAACGATTCCACACATTGCGTCAACTGGATGTTGTTGTTGCCGAGTAAACCCACAAATTTATAACTTATCACATCGAGCCGGCCTCCTTTAAGACTGAGCAACTCATAGCTTGACATTTCTTGGGATTGAGAATTGCCAATTTTCCATATTTCCAAGGTTGATATTCATATAAATATGTTCCAGAAGTGCAGGAAACAGTGGGTCAATATGGTGCTATGTGTCCTATGATGACATTTGAGATTACGTCTTTGAATAGTAGAAATTTAGTTGCTGTTTTGGATAGAAACTTTACACTGATGACATCTAAAAGGCTCCAGGCAACCAGCAAAAATTGGGCATACACCAAACAAAGTTGTCGAAGGGTCGATATAGGTGAAAAAAGAAAAAAATTCTATGTTTTGGAGCTGGGAGAGCCGATGACAAAAAAATTCTACACAATCTACCATTCAACGTATCTTCATGAGATAGGTCATACTTATGCATCTCTTCATCAAGTTAATATAATAGAAGTTGAATTGAAGTTTCTTTGTCAACTTATTTATGAAGAGTGATGACAGTCTTGCTAATAATAAAGAAGAGAAAATAAAAGTGCTACCCATACAAGGCAAGACTTCATTGTTGGAAGGATGTGGAGATTAAGGGATATGAAATTGTTCTATTGCCTATAAAAGAAGAAAGTCTGGTTGTTCAGTGAGTTTCTGTAGTCGGAAGAAAGGAGGATTGAAGACGACGAAGTATCTTTGAACCCAGGTCAACTGCAAAGAAAAGGTGTGTGGTGTGATAATTTACGACTACACTTCTGAAATATAATATCTAAATTAGTAGTCAAGCCAATGAAAATTCCTGTTGCTCAGAGGTGTTTTTGATGAGTACATTTAGCAAGATGAAGTTTGTTGTGATGTCCAGACCATGGACGCCTCTCATCTTACTAGGATGATAATATTTTCTTGATAGTGATATGCCCATCGTACCTAACCATAGACCTCAATTTCACAAAGATAACAAGAAGTTGCACCGCATCCTTTTAAAGAGGAATCACGATATCTATACTATTATGACACAAAGGCTAGTCGTTTCTCAAATCTCTCCAATTTGAGAAGATAATTAGGGAGTGGAGTTTTTCGTATGTGGTTTGGTAGGATTCTAGGAATAATAAGTGTTCATGCTACCAGTTAGAAACTCAAAAGGCTGATCATAATATGATCAAAGACTTCCCCACTTGACCACCACCGATGAGAGATGTTTAACATGTAATTGATTGGATATTAGGAGCGACAATAACATATACCACTAGCATATCAAGCAGAAATATAACATCAAGTGGGACATCTGATTGCTATGGGATTCATGCTAAAAAGTCATAGTGGTGTACTTGCTGACTCAAACAAAAAAAGATGGATCATGGAGAATTTGTATAGACAGCCATGTAATTGCAGATTATGGTTGTGTCAATTCTAAATTCAAGGATACGATAAGATGCTAGACCGACTAGTTGGATCGATTGCATTTTTTGAGCAGGCTTAAAAGGTGGCAATCAAATTTGGATTAGGAGTGAAGATGAGTGGGAAACAACATTGGCAACTCGATATTGACTATTCGAATGTCTTGTGATGCCTTTTGGTCTTTCCAATGCACCCAATACTTCCACACTAAATGATGGAGGAATTACATTGGAGTTTATGTGGCTGTTTGTCTTGACGCCATAGTAATTCACATTATGACACGGATGAGCGCATGATGTGGAATTTTATGCCTTAGTTTGAGCTCTTCATATTGGCAACGTTATTTGTTACATTAGGTTTTTTTTTGTTTATCCATCATGCTGCACTTCGGTATTTGAATTCACAAAAGAAACTCAATTTGAAGCATACCGAGTGGAGTTCTTTTGTTCAACAATTTTCACTGAATCATGTAGTTATAGTAGGTTTTGAAGTTCTCTTAGTGCGTCATGCTTTCTTAGTTACCTCAGGTTTTGGTCGTTTCCTATTTTTAACATTTTTCTAGTATGCAAGATTCTTATTCCTTACGTTTACAGAGTTTATAAGAAGACGGTAGACTATATTGTTCCAACAAGTTGATGACGTTTATTTCAGTCCAGAAACTTTTGATTTGCTTAGATTAAGTCTAAGGCACTTAGGGGTTGTTTGATAAAGCTTTTGATTAAAATTTTAGCAGATTTTGATAAAATTTAATGAAATGTATGGTTGATAAGTTGATAAAAGTTGTGGATCCCATGAAATGTGCAGTTAAATTAATTATGGACTTTGACTTCTAGTTTTTATCAACTTAGTAAGCTTTCCCACACAAGCACTAAATTTTTAGTATTTACTTCGAGCTCCGATATTATCCATATGCTCTTTCAACTTCTATTATCTGTTTATTCTTGTTCCGCCATCAAAATATTAGCCTTTTTGCAGGAATTCGCAACATTCTTGAGGGTGCTAGGGAGTTATCCCACGGACACTGGCCAGGCATGAGCGACCTCGAATCCTGGTAAGATTTCGATATATGTGAACTTATTTGAAGTAAATGTGGGTGAACTTTTTATGACGGCTCTTATGTGACTTGAATGCACAACAGAAGAAATATATATTTTTTGTGAGTGAATGTACTCTCGGTCTCAAGCTACAAGTGAGCCAAGCTAATCTAGGCCTTTTAGAATAGGCCTGTGTGTGTGTGTGTGAGAGAGAGAGAGAGAGAGAGAGAGGAAAATGCAGAGTGGATTAACAATCAGCACCTTCAAGTTCTAAATTTGATAGATTATCTAATATTTTGCTTCCGCTTCAAAGCTAAAGCATAAGATTAAAACCCTGTAGCCAATGCCATATACATATTTCTTGACACATTTGGACCTTGGTACATGTATTTTGTTGTTCTTTCGCATGGCATCATTCTCCACGGGCTTTCCTACTAGGTCTAATTACTCAGTCTTCTTAGCCTCTGTTTGAGAAATATTTTTAGCAACTTTTTAGGAGGAATAGTGGTGGGGATTACGAAATGTGTGGATAACAATGAGTAGTAATTTTGAATGTGTGATTGAAATAAAGTATTAGTAGAAGTAACTTATAATTTGCTAAAAATGTTTCCCAAACACGTGCTTAGCTTCTAACTCTTGATTTCCCTTTCTCTCTTCTTAAGAATGCTGTACAGGGGCTTCCATTTGGAGAACACAATTTCAGGAGATGAAAATTCTTCAAAGAATTCATCGGTCTTAAGATAGACTAACAGAAAGCTGAGAAAGAGTGTTACACGACAGAGCAAATAAGTGACCTTGTCAACACTTCACTATCAAATACAAAAGATACTGCTATTCTTTTATTGTAATTACTGAATTTTATTTCATTTTATTCATTGTCGCATCAAGTTTTGTTGAATTTGCCCTTCATTGAAGCAATTTTGTGGTCGTGCTTGACTCCTTTACCAAGTGAGAGAGTAGTCTCCTCTCGAGTGGGTCATTTTCTTTATTGTTGAAATAAGCACTAATGACATTTGGTATGTTACATCAGACATGATTTAACTGGAGAAATAATAAATTTAGATATCAGTCGTTTTTCTATTTTTATTGTTATTTTAATTATTTTAGATCAATAAATAAATATGAGAAGTAGAGAACACGTATGGTTGGACTTCAAAATAAATAACTTGCCAAACAACAATATGCACATTTTTTTAGGGCATGTTTGGGAGAGATTTTCAAAATTCTACAGTAAATCAATTCTCATTTTCAATCACACATTTTTCAATAAAATAATATTTTTTATCACATCAATAATTTATTCTTCTTTTTCAATCACACATTTCGCATCATGACATTATATCACTATTCAAAATCAATTCGTCCCCCAGAAATTCCTCCCAAACAANTAGACAATCCGATGAATTTGCACAAAGTAACTTATACATAGACAATTAAAAATGAGGAAAGCTGAGCGTACATGTGGGTTCTCACATAACATCATAGAACACTCACAAAGGGCGGGAGCTACCTTAATAAAAAAAAGTTAAAAAAATTAACCCTCCCACCCCACCCCACCCCCCAGGTGAGTGTTTCGTGGGAGTTTTGTGAGAACAAAAAAGCTATTTGTACAATCATTAGTGATTGACAACAATTACAACACACTCACATTAGTGTGTGCCCCACCAATGTTAATTTGAGTGTGTTGTAAGTGTTGTCAACCACTAATGATTGTATAACTAGAATTGTTCTTGTGAGAACCCCCTGCACACTCAACTTTTCTCATTAAAGATTAGTAATCTGATTGATACAAAAGTATAGTATAATGATCTAATTGGTGCAAATTTTAAAGTACCGTGATCCAATTAAATTTTGGTTAAAGTAGAGTGACCACGAATTGCAATCAGCTCGTCATGACAATTTACTTTAAAAGAAGCCTCAAGGCTCACAATTTTTTTAAGACCATGCTATGTGTACACAATAGTGTACACACGGCTTTACACCCTCCCTCACATGGAGGGGTGCTCACACACAATAAAATATTTGTAAGCCTCTCTCCATGTGAGAGGGGTGTAAAGCTGCGTGTATATCATGAGGTGTACACATAGCATTTTTCTTTTTTTTATTGAACGTGGATGCCCTCTTGGTGGGGGGTGCAAATAGCAAAATGAATAGGAAAAAAAAAAAAGTAATTATCCACATCATTTGGCAACTGCTGTAACGTGCTTCCCCGATTTAAATCCCGCTCAAATCAAATTTCGAATAAACTGCATTTCTATGTATAATCCATTTCGAATATACAAATTCACAATAAATAATCAACCGAACGACTGAGATAGTGAAATGAGGTCGGATCTGAAAAATCGGTCCGCCAATTCCACTCGCGCTTCACCGGCAATTACAAGTATGTTTTGCTTTTCATATTTTTCTTTCAAATGTATTTGATTTGTATCTAGAGTTATTGTGTTTACTATTTAATTAATTCTACATGTAATGATTTCCGTCAGCTAGGGTTTGGATTGTTCTTTCTAATTACCAGATGTTGCTTATTTTATTATATAATTATTTGTGTATGCCTTTTCTATTTTAGCTTCTGTGTGAAATTGCGCAGAGAGTTAATTTTCTGTTTGATTGAGATATAGAAATTCACTTTTTAGTATTTTTTTTCTTTATAACTTTTACTACTTGACACTGTGTGTTTGTGAGGCAGTGATTGAAATTAGTAGGTGTACATGTGTACTTATATACAGACTAACAGATACAAATATTTGCAATTATATTGATTTATGTAAAGATATGCATATGTATGCCAACTTTTGCTAATTGTTATACTACTGAAATATGCAATATTGAGGATAGGTTAATTATAGTTGCGCCTGTGGTGCCCGAAATAATTAAAGCAACCATACATTTTAAAATATAGACTAGCTAATATTTTCAATATATATATATATATATATATATATATNATGATGCAATTAAACAAATACTTCTCTTTTGCAGAGCGCTTAAAAATTGTTGAGGATTTAGCAAATCCTTGTTCTTCATCCTCCAGAGGAAGCTGCTTCAAAGAGAATGTTAATATTAACAACTCAGACCCCACGAAACTGAGTGCAGAACCACTGCCGATGAAGAGAAAGAAAAAGGGAGGGGGATACAATTTACGGAAAAGCCTAGCATGGGATAGAGCCTTTTTCACTGAAGAAGGTTAAGGTTTATTATATCCCTTTCTATTATTATACTTGAATAGTAGTATTTAATTGGAAGAGAAATTTTGAAGCCTGGCTTCTTGTTTTGTCCTCAGGTGTTCTTGATCCCATAGAACTCTCTACAATTAGTGGTACCTCTTGTGGAGAGAGATTGTTTGCCATAGATGAAGAAATTTCCAGCGCTTCATGTTATACTATGGAATCTGCTGATACTCCAGCAATTGAAAACGATCTAATGAAAGAACCTCCAAACGAAGCTTTGCATAAATATGGGAGTGATTGCCTATCACCAAAGCCCAATTCATCAGCTTTTAATGATGTCATTTCAACTTCTATTGTCAGTTTTTTGCTCTCTACCTGTAATCTCTTTTTTGACAGGAAGTTTTGTAACTTATTCTGTCTCTCATTTGTTTACATTCTTCCAGACTTCACAAAAATCAACTCGTCCTAGTAGCAAATTTGGGTCCAATTGTGGTGACAGTACTCGACCTTTGCCTCCATCCTGATATCCTTGTTTATAATTATAATGTATTGTATGATCTGCATGTTTTGGGTACATTGAGTTTTTCCTCACTTGCATTCTGAAGTTTTGAATAAGGTACCCTTAATTCTTTTATACTTTAAAAAGGCCAGCAAATATAACTGTTGCCAAATCTGCAAGCAATGCATTGAAGCTGCTGAAGGTTCCTGTTCCAAAGTCAGGTCCTAGAGCGAACTATTTGAAGCATAACCAGGTTACTGAACCAGGTGATCTCTCAGCGATACTTAATTTACGCATCACTGTGTAGGATCATTTATCTTCTCATTTACAACATATAAAATGGTTGAGTTGAAAGTCTAGTCGGGTTGCTCTACACCATTTCATTTGTATGCTTATAATTTTTTGGAGGCTTGACTCAATAATTTCACAATTTTAATTTCTGGGTAGTATCATGCTGCATATAATATTATATTAGTATATAGTAAATTTCCATATTACTCATGCAGTTGTTAGCGTCCAGAGGAATATAGGATCAAAGAGATCCTCCAAAAGTCAGAAAAACACTGATGATACATCAAAAGCTGGTACTTTAAGACCATCCCGCCATTCAAAAGGAAATTCAGTAAGGACCTACCTTCGACAGCCTTCAGCTTAATGATAGCCTAGAGCAGTTACTATTGGACATTCTAAATTAGCAGATAACTTAAAAATTACTTCTTATCGCTTGAATAGTACCAATTTCTTTGTCTTATCCTGGATTATGTTGCTAACAGTTCGTTAACTATAGATTTCACAGGAAAACTCATTGCAGAAAGGACAAATATCAATTGACAAAAGTCCCCTGCTTGTTGAAAAACCCAATAATTGTGGTTCAAAGATGATTTCGGATAATATGGTTCCATTTAACCCAGGGCATTCATTTGAGAGCCGAGATGAGCCCACAACAATCTCCATCTCGGTTGCTCAGAATGCTTGCATCAGTGGAGGTAATTTGCATCCTTCACGAAATCAAGCCCCCAGACCGTCAGGTTTGAGAATGCCATCACCATCATTATCGTTTTTCAGTCAGGTATGGCTTTATAATTCAGCCAAGTATAGGCTTTCTGATATTCTGTTGCAACAAAAGGTTTTTGTGCTCCTATATTAGTGCTAACTCCCAACTGCTTTTGTAGCCTAAAACTTCGGGCTCATGTAGATTATCATGGAGAAATACAGACTCGAATGTTTGTGGGATACAAAAACTTGAAGATTTAAGGTCACATAATACTCTGAGGAAAAGTCCGAAGCTGGCCAATGGCACCGAAACAAGCACAAGTAATAGCAATAGGCTCATAAGCTCCAGATCAGAATGTTCTGCACCATTTGAGGTCAGGGCTATTTCACGTGGAATAATTGAATCTAATGTGGAGGAAAACCCTACACAGAAGGTGGGAACAAAGGTTTTATTTGATGCCAACAGTTCTGAGCCAAAAGGTAATAACATTGATGTCAATGGACAGCTTCAGGATGTTCTCAAGCAAATAGAAATTGAGAAGGTAATACCCCGGGAGGATATAGAATTTCAGAAGAATGACAAAGAAGTTCCCTTACAAAGTACTTCATGTGAAAAAGTGACAGATGATATCAAGCTTAAGAGTACTATCCTTGGTAGTCCAGGAAATTGTGTATCTTGTATGAGTGGATGGGGAAATTCAAATCTAGTGTCACCACACGACCATTTGATGCTTGGCACAAGTGGATCTGATACAAAAGCTGCAGCCAATGAACCACATGAAGAGCCAAAAATTTGCAAATTTTCTGTCTCAAAACATGATATCAGATCCGAGACACGACCTGGAGAGGTAAATGATCACAGATGGAAGAATTCTTTGATAGTGGGGAATAATTTGGTGGAAACATGTATGCAGGATTTTCATGAACCACCTAGGGAGCAAACTGACCAATTAAAGTTCTCCCTTGGAAAGACTGATCCGGACCTTACTGGAGATAAGCATATTTTGAAGACAAATGGAAGAGGTAATGAACCAGCTAAAACGTCCGAAGAATATGGAAGTTGGTATGTTGGAAATGTAGATTATGAAGCTCTAGAAAGTATTATGAAAAGTCCATGTTCTGCATCTAAGAACGAACATAAAGATCTTTCAGTAGAAGCTACTACTGCAGATGCGAGAACTTATAACTCACTTGTGGGAAAGGCACAACTTCAGGCTCCAGAAGATATTTTAACTATTGAAAGCTCTAAAAATGACATCAATCATATATTGGTGGTTGGTGCTAGTAACAAGCAATCAGGAAAAGCTTCAGAGCTTCAGGACATTCACCAAGAAGTTGAACTAGATTCACAAAATAATTATATATTGCGTACAAGTGATTGGTTGTTGCCAGAAAAACAAGCATGTTGTATAGAATCCTTGCAAGAAAAACTCACTGAGACACTTCCAGTAGTTGCTATGGCTGGAAAAGATGGAAATCAATTTTTTGACGTTTACATGGAAAGTACTCAGGCTCCAGCTGCAGTTCATGATGATGACTTAAATATAGACGAAATGACCAATCAACCTCTAATCAGGGATAAGCAGTTTAATTTCATTGAAAATATCCAATCTTCTGAAAGTCGCAACATTTTAATTGATTTGACTTCCAGTTATGATGGTGTACTCGCAGCTGAAGCTAACTATTTGGAACTTAATAGTTCTCCTGATGAAGTAACAAAGTCATTCGTTGGAGGTGATGGGAGATTTCCAGATGACAATGACATGTGGAATATGGGAATGAATGAATTGAAAGCTGATTTGTTGTTGGAGGAACCTGCAAGTAAACAATTGTCAAACAGTCCTCATCAGGAAACACAGACAATAGAGATGAACTATAATAGTTTGTTTTCCAGAAGCATGATGTTTGAAGAGTCGCAGCAAATTATTATTGAAAGGACAACAGATTCCAGGCCAATGTTAGATTGTTATCATGAAAACAATTTAAGAACTTCTGCCCTTTTAGTAAAGGAAGGGGGATTTGGAGTGGATAAGGAGACTACTGTGTCACGCAAGGAGGATTTGATGGTGCAGTCTTATGACAAAGCATTAAACGAATTCTGTGTCAAGCTTACTTCAACAGATCCTAGTCAATATATAAGGGATGCTGATTGCGATGAACAGTCAGGACATTTGAAATTGCCTAATCCTGTTGTATTTGAAAATCTTTTCCTCAGTAATGATGGATTACCTTTGAAGAATCACTCTCAGTCTGTAAAATGCATTCTCTCTGATGATTATGATCAAACTACTGTTTTGGATAGCATGGTGGATTCTGTTTCAAAACCAAGTGATCCACATGGAGGCAAAATAAGATCCAGTGTTAATGTCCAGAAACCAACTTTGATGCATAAAACTTGCAGAGATGCAGATGAAATTGTTGGTCAATCTTGTGTACATGATCAGAAAGAGATTGAAGGTTCTCGAGACAGTAGTACTTCTGTTATTGAAGAATCTGCCGAGGATAAAGCTGCATTTGCATCAATGTAAGTATTACTTGAAAAGAGTGTACTTTGTTGATTTTTAAAACTTAATTTTTAAGATCTATGCAAAATTATCATGAATTCAGTACTTTGAAAGTATGCCGTTATGTCTCTTTTCTATGGCAGCAATAAATTTGGTGACGGTCTTAAGAAGAAAAGTCGTGCATTTGTACCCCCACAAAATGCTGTTCCATTTTCTGATGAATGGTTGGCTGCCATTGAAGCTGCTGGAGAGGTAAGTTTATATGCCTCAGCTTTTATTTTTTGTCTGCATAATTCCCCTAACATGTAATCAAAGAAATTTTCTCTTTTTTAAGCATTTTGGTAAAACTTGAAGGCTGTGGGTGCTCATATGTGTTTTGACTCCCTTCTTCATTAACTTGATGACTTGTATGAATGGGTCTATTCCTGCTCATATTTTCATTAGATGGAGTATGTACATGCTATTTTTCTTGTTTAAGAAGTATTTATTTTCCTTTGTTTTAATATTGATCTTCCTTCAATGTTGACCGTCTATGATGCAACGACACGGACACGTTTGTCCGACACGATACGTGTCGGATACGCCGACACGCGATTTTTTAAAAAAAGTACAGACACGATACGTCATCGACACGTTGATTAAATTTTTAAAAATTCTTCATTTATATAGTAGAAATTTAATTTTATACTTGTTATTAATTTTTCTTGTTGAAATATTTTAAATATGATTATATATTTGTTACTTGCTAATAACTTTGAATTAACAACATATAATATTTCTATGACACGTTATTGACACGTTGATTAAATTTTTAAAAATTCTTCATTTATATAGTATAAATTTAATTTTATATTTGTTATTAATTTTTCTTGTTGAAATCTTTTAAACATGAGTACATACTTGTTACTTGCTAATAACTTTGAATTAACAATATATAATATTTCTAATATAAAAAGAAAAATGATTACGGTAGAGTGTCCGAGAAGTGTCGGTATCGACACGCTACCCTAATTGAAGTGTCCATGCTACAGAGTTGACCATTAATCGGTGATTTTTGGGATTTTGATTATCCACTTATTGGTTAATATAGAAGATTTAGTTTCGTGATTCTTTACATGTTAGGCTTCTATATATTATCGTTGAACGAAAGTTACCTTTTGTATGTTAATCCTCTTAATTATGCTTAAGAGTCACTTTTATTTTACATGTTTTTTTCTTTAACCCTAGCCGGACACGAATGAGTGTCGGACACAACACGCCGACATAGGGACACACCAACTCGGTAGTGCTGGGAGGGTGTCAATGCATCCTAGACCTAAATAGACTTTTAAAGGATCTCGATATCCTTCTAAGTATAATTCTATTTATGGACATGAATTTTGGTTTTTTCAGAGTCGATAGGTGAGGTAGGGAATAATTATTCCAAACATCACACAGAGCTACAATTTTTCTACCTTTTGTTTATTGCTTCATGCTAATTTAATCTACTCGAAAGTTTTATTACACCTTTTTTTGTTATCTTGGTGCTTGATTCTATCAATTTATTAGCTTATGATATATATAACTGATTCAGCCATTATGTTCATTGATATGTAATTTTATATAGAAATTTCAACAGGATATTCTCACCATGAAAAGTGGTTCTGTACAACATTCGCCTCCTGACAAATCTCTTCCCGAGCCAAATCCATGGTCTCCGGTATGTCATTACTCTTGCATTCTCATTCTCTAAAATAGGAGAACTCACATGCAAAGTCATATTAGATTGGAAAACAAGAGAAATCATATTGGTTTTTGAAATTTTATTCTCTTTCTTCATATTGATTTTGAAATTTGGCATCTTTGTTACTTTCTTGGTTACTCGTTGTATTGCAACTAGTTTAATGTGGCAATCAGTAGTTCAGACAGTATTTTACTTCGCTAGCTATCTAAATCCATATTGTGTGATGAGTTCTTCAGGAACCATGTGCCCTCATTGTCATTTATTCGTCAATTTTGATTGTCATGGATTTGATCTGCGTTCTTCAGTGCTAACGCTTTCTGATTTTGTCATGTGGACGACATAACCTGTGACAATCTAAAAGAATAACACCCCAAAGAAAACTCAGTTACAACACAGATAAATTATCAATTTTGAAATTCTTGTTTTTTATCATGGCAATCTAGATATACAATATTTTTTGTGATATTGATTGTGTTTCATTTGTTTGCTTTTTAATTTTATCAATGCCATCCCACATTTCCTATCTTGAAATTTTAGGAGTTAATGTATTATATCTGGTGCTTGTATCCATCACCATACTTAGTAGTCCGAAACCAATTGGATGAATTGTCTCCACTTATGTGACAAAAAGTGGAAGTTCAATTTTGTTCTCTTTGAAGTACTCCTCTTGCTTCAGTTTGTTATATGTTGAGATTCTCTGTTGTATTCATAAAGGAAACAAGTATATGCAAATTAAATAAGCAGATCGGAGAGCATCTTCATATATATGTTGAGTAAAAATCACTGGCTTTTTGTCAAAAAGGAAATGAAAAACAGAAAAAAAGTATATTGTATTTGTATTGTTAATTTCAAATAAGCTGCCAATATTTAATTTTCAAAGTCTTATGAATGTTTTTTTGTGATTTTTTCAGGTGAAAAGGAAAACCAATCAGATAGGACCCTTTGACTGTACAAAGTTCACCAACATCTCGCCCTCTAACTCCAGCTAAACCAAAAGGTTTGGCATAATTCTGATCTGACTGTAGTTACTGATCTACAATGACAGTAGGATTATTGGTTGCTACCACTTCACAAGAATGCAAAATAAATCTTCCTATTCTTTTTCTTTATGGATAGTGGATTGCTTAAGACTTCTTTTGCTTATCATTAGATCAAAGTGGAAACAATCCAAAGCTAATCCTGTAGTTCACTGAAATGCTTCAATTCATTATAAATTGAGGAGTAGGTTCTTTGTTGTAATTTTATGATCTCGTACTCAAATAGGATTTCGCTCTTTCTGAACGAAATTTATGGACACGAGAACACCTTTTAATGCTAGTTTCACAAATAATTGAATGCTGACACTTTCCGCAAGTTCGATAGTGCTAAAAGTTGTTCAACTACCAAAATCTAATGGTTCTCAACTTCTCATAAGCATTTTATTGTTAAGATTGAAAGACATTTCATCTATGGGAGCTCTTGTTTGAATTAAGAAATTAAAATGCACATGCTTAACCTGTTTCAATATGTTTGAGGCCTTGAGCATTTGAATATGTGGCCACCCTAAGCCTATAGGTAGGTTTGACTTAACTCAGTTAGCATTTACAGTAGCTGCAAAGAATTCACTGAAAGAATAGAAAACTCGGACAGCTTTACTGCAATCACGCTTCAATACCTATTACACAATTTGCTCAGAACATTAACATCTTAAAGGTGATAATAATGATTACTTGTTAAACTTCTCTTAGTGTCCATTTATATAATTGATACAGGTCCTGCTGCAAATATTGCATATTTAGTGAAATGTTCCGGTAACTTGTTTGGTTTGTTGCGTTTATAGGAGTCCTCAATAGGGGATAGAATTAGCAAGGAATTCTCAGAGGGTTTCTTTGGGGTGGTGGTGGTTGTCATGATAACGTGGATCGCAGAAAGGGGATTGGTAATTTTGCAAATACACGTGGTGGTAATTTTTACCCATGAGTGGAAACTAGTGCACTATGTACTCTATATTCTGAAATTCTCCATGATTCAAATAAGTAAACATTTTTTATTCTTGGACCTGCCACTAACATGAACTTTCTTTGTTCTGTGGTAACTACAAGTATAATGGCACGGTCTTGCTATATGTTTTAGGCTTGTAGCATAAGGTATTAAGCATATAAAAGTTGTGTAACGAGTCCAAAGGGAGTTATGATAAAAGAAACAAAAGTATGCCTTGAATGCACAACTACAAAAAAGAAGGAAAATGTCAATAAGCAAGAAATGTGTAATTGGGTCGAATAATGATATTTATCTTTATAATAATAGAATATTGGTGATGTGATAACTTAAGTAAAATAATGGAATATGACGGTTCAATCCTTCATCTATCTCTCTTTCTCTTTCATGAAAATTGAACTATTCTACCTCATTATTCCACCTAAATTATCGCATTACCAAAATTTCATCATTATAATGATAAATATCATTATTCAATTGAGTTTAACCAAGGGAGGGGAAATTTTTCAAGACCGGTCATTTTTGCCGGTTTAATTTGGGAAGAAAGAGGTTAACTAGAACTTTCTAACTAAGACAGGCGAACTATTCTGATTCTTAGTTTTTCCTTCTAAAGCAAAGGCTAACTACTTTGCTGGCAATGAAACTGCAAAAAGGTTTTTTTTTTTTTTGCCATTTTCTTTCCATTGTCTAATATATTTGCATTTTTGGGAAGTACTTTTAAACGATTTAAATTACAAATAAATATAAATAAGTTGTAGATAAATGGTAGTATTTGTGGGTCCCTCGAGTTCACTCTCAGAGTTGACGAGCGCGGTTCAAATTTAATTTTAATTATTTGATTTTGATTATTTTATTATTAAAAGATGTAAAATTACTATTTTAACATTTTAAAATTAGTCAAAATAATTGTGAAGATCAATTATTTGGTTAACTAATGGTCAAACTAATAAAAATCATTCATTTGGACTTCAGTTGCGACATTTTAAAAGGTTTTGGGTGGCACAAATGAAAAATTTAGATAAAATCTACTATTAAATGAAAGGTTTGGTGCTACTACTGCAATTATCCCTTTTAAATATTCTTTATAGTTTTCAGGTGGTACGCATTTTGTTGGGTATACTTGAGGATTTGGAGTGAGAGAAATATATGTCATTGTTTTGTCTTCATTTTTTAGAACTCATTATTTTTCAGATTCATTTTTAATCACAAATTCTTCCAATAAAATAATTTTGCAAGTAAACTAAAAAAATTTCATTACTTTTTTAACTATGCATTTTAGAAAAAAATCACTTTTCATAAATTCTATTCTAAAAAAATCTTTACTAAACATGGCATAATGATATGATTGTAATGACATTTCACATAGTGAATCATTGACCGCATGTAATATTTCTTCAATTTTTGAGTTTTCTTGTTTATGTTCTTATATCTTTTCTATTGTTGTTATTCTTCATTTTTATATTCTCCTTCTGTCTTAACATTTTTTAGATCAAGCTTCTACGTGTGAATAGAGAAATATTTGAATAAAGTTATTTAGTATTTGTGATTAAATACTCGTCTATGTGACACTGAAATTACTGTTGTATTGTCCAATGTATCACCAATGAAAATGGCATTATTCATTTCTAGGAGATGATATTCGCGTTTTAGAATTTTGGTGCATTAAAATGTGAGTGTGACTCGGTATACATATGGTTTTAAAAGAATGTTAAAGATACATTTTATTGGCATGTTATGTTGTGTCAATGCTTCAACTATTCAAATTTGATAATAGAAAAGACACTCGATTGCTTATAAATAGGACCCCTGCTAGGCTGCTACATGAATAGGCTATGTTCAACCACGTCGCCCCCCTATAGGCGGGTGCCTACGCTTGACACATATTTTTTAGAAATACATTCCTTCAGAACTCATTTTCAACCACATATTTTTCAATAAAATAATATTTTTCATCGTATCAATAATTTTTCCTTACTTTTTAACATATATTTTTCATTATATCACTATTTAAAGTACATTCTTTTCTCAATAATATTCATCAAACACCCCCTAAAAATGCTTATGAATGTGCAAGCAAGACATTAATTGTGGTGTTATATCACGTTGATGGATCCAACTAGTTTTTTTTTCTTTTCAAAAACTCATTTTTAACAAAAAAAAAAATTTTTAAAAATAAAAATCACTATTACAAAATGAAAAATGTTATTTAGCAGCATTGGTGCCACCATGCTCAGAAGTTCAAGATAATTACTAGCACAACTTGTACACCACAAAACTTATTTACACAACTGAAGGGTTTTTATTCATAACTACACAAAAGTAGTCGTGCTCCCAAACATCCTATCAACGATCAGAGGTTCAACTAAATCACGATCAATTTCATCTGTCTCCACCAATTCTACGTTTTTGCATTTGTATAAGCAGGCATATGCAAGAAAGTATCCAAAGTTGATAACCCCGAGCATTGCTATGACCCAATACACGTTATCTAACTTGTCATCGTTTAAGCCGTTGGGCAACCACGACGTTACTCTTCAAAATAAATCGACGATAGCAGTGCTCAAGTAATACGCAATTGCAATTATCATTGCAGTAGCCAAGCTCGTGAGTGAAGTGGGAAATTCTTGTTAGTGCAAGGCAACTTGTCCCGATGCCTACAATAACGAGTTGTGGGATTAACCACAAGACCGAAAAGGGCACGATCGAACCTTGAAGGTGGTGGGAATGGGCTGCGTCACGCCTTTTCTCCTCGACCAAGGCTGAAATTGCCATGCTGGCAATGTTAAACACGTGGCCAATGCCGATTCATTGCAGTGGAGTAGCATCTTGGCCGACAATTTTCTTCCATATTGGCCAGAAGAAACGATCAAAGAGAGAGGCATATTGCAGTGGTGACTAGTGTGAAGACTACAACAGAACCTGCTGGATATTTGAAAATTTCTAAAAAGCTGAAGAAAACTGAAATTAAATATTACCTTATGCTGTTTGTAGGTAGTTCATCAATCTTTTTTCAGTCCTTCTCCATAATAGCAATCTGGACTTGGGAAGCCAAAACCACTTCTTTTTCCTATAACTTGCAACAATTACCTGAGCCAAGCTGGTGAATTGGCTTCCTTTTGGCTTATCATAATAATAATATCGTCTTCCTAGCAAGAAAATGATTATTCCCAGTACATTTGCCATTATGCATTTACCAAATCCCCATGCCCAACTCACTCTATCTTCAACATAAACAATGGCTGTGCTGGCTATAACAGTACCAAAATACAAAGTAAAAAACTATCAATTAAAATAAGTTTCTTGATGTTTAGCATTTGTAAATTGGTTAGCTCCCATTGTCGCCAAAGTGAAGCGGGTTCCCCCTACCCCAGTGGATACCAGTGTCAATGCTAAATATAACATCGCATATTGAGTTTTAGATGGCGTGATTACGCACGAACCATTTTGACAATTTTGAGGCCTGAAGCCATTCACTGTTTCCATAAGAAGAAAAAGTAGACCCTGCAGCAGGTTTTAGAGGAAAATATCAGAAAATTTTAGTGTAGAAGAAATTCTTGTAATGATGAGATACTGTGTTATTACCAGCACAGAAATGAGAGGAAATCCAGATGATAGCGTAAGAAACGAGTCAGCAACAATTGCTCCAACAATAGGAAACAAACTTGTGCAGCCAATACCCAAGTTGTGTATTTGAGCAGACTCAATGCTGTTTTTATGGAATTCTTCGATCATGTAAACAATTAGGTTGCTCAGCCACCCTCCTGCACCTAGCGTGAACCCAGCTAAAGTGGCTGCTTTGATAAAAGAAACATTCAATAACTATCATCTATGCATTCCTATACTTCAAAAGAAACTACAAGTGCATATTCCATTTTATGGAGGGATAAACCCAATGAAACATGAAAACACGGAATTCAGAGAGAGACCCGTCATGAAGGGGAAGGTGATCCATCCGTTGTGTTCAGGTTTGGCGGTGCTGTGAAGCTGAGCTTCTCCATCACCAGAGATTGAACTTATACTTTCCATGTAGAATGCAAAACAGCTAGCAATTTCTATGCAATTAATGTCACCTCTTGATCTTTATATAAAGCATTGCAAGAACAGGAAACCCCGACAAATGTGCAGAAATTCTATGTGAATGGGTCCTACTGTCCGAAATATGCCTACATACAGACTTGACTCGAGATGTACAGCAATTGATAGGATTTTGGGTACAGATATGTGTTCAACACTAATGGTAGTTGAGGCTGTATATATTTTCATACATGGTACAATCAGAACATTTGATGTATTTAAATTGCGCTCTTTGTCTATATAGTCATCAGATACTCAAATAGTGATGTACGTGATGAATAAATGTAGTTAGGTAATTAAATCAACAACATTGTATTGACAATGCCAGCTTTGGATGAACCGACAACCAAAGATGAAATGACCAAACCGCAAGCTTTGGATGAAAAATATCGTCTCAGACTCTTATCATGAATAATCGACCAAACTTCACTATTCTCATTACAACAGGAATCCTCATGAATTGTATTAAAGAAGAATAACATTAGCTGAGTTGATGAGATACTTGGCTAAAGATTAACTACCATCCTATACACTACTCAACTGAAATAGCCTACACCACGAATAAGAATACAATGGAACTCAAATCAATTTTAGTGATTACTGTCAAAATATTTCCAAACCAAAGTATAAGAGTGTTCATAAGAGATTACCCCTCCACTATTGCAAGTACATTTCCTTGAATTCTAGGTGAGCTTAATGCTAGCATCTCAACTGACCGAATTATAGCATCAAAACAGTAGAGACCAAATCTAATGACGCTAAACGGGCACGCTATGAGTACAACTAGGTTTGCATTAGAATTATTCCGTAAGGCACACAATAATGTGGAAGTTATGCTCCTGGCCTAGATCCAGCTGTGTTATAATCAAAATAAGCATGAAAGCACCAAATTTAAAATCACCCCAATCACACAGAATTGATCTTTTCAGTTTGTAATCGCCCGACTACCAACCTCTGAGTGTCAAATCTTCCCGAATATCCCCTAGAGTCTACCTAAAGATGGATAGACACTTTTAGAATCAAAGCTGGGCTGGATATTGGCTAGAGTAGAAGAAAACACACACTATTACCATAATGTGTGTGTTTGTTGTGAGAGAGAGCACGGGATGGTCAGTCCAAGATTAGGGTTATCGGAACAATTAGTTTAAGTCTCCACTAAACTACAGTCTTCTTAATCTATTTATAGTCCATCTCTTACATGCATCTCTAATACGGTGAACTTCCAAGACAGTCATTGCCCAATGAACCAATATCATTTTCTTCTCGACATTCTTTTCCTTAGAAGTGCGACGAAGATACCCCAAGTTTAACTCTGCAAAGTAGTATTTCCTCGTATCTGTCAAAAGCTAATAAAATTAATACTTGATCCTGTGTAGTTTAGGTCAGCTACATAAATTCATTTTAAGTTTAGGTCAGCTACATAAATTCATTTTACCGTTCAATTCACTGCTACATCAAATCCATAAGAACTTCTCAAAGAAGGAAAACCTGTTGGTACAATCTTTTACTCAAAAACACGAGAGAACTGCTACATTCTTTGTTCAATCACTAATTAATCACATGTTTTAGGGCAAAGATGGCTGAGATAGCAAAACTACCGAACACTATAATATATTTATTGATTCAATGGCATTTATCTGGAATAGAAGTTACGAAATTACATATAAAGCATTTATACACAATACAATTTAACATGATAACAAAATTAAAAAATTGTTTCAAGCCCTCGAAACAAGAACAACTCTACTTATTGAACACAGTGCCTCTTGCAAGACCTGCCTAATCTGAATAGAAAGTTGAAAAACAGAAGAATTAACTGGAAAGTGAACTTTACTGGTTCATCAGCAACTTGTATTGTTTACACATAGCTTTCGTCTGCTATATCAGTTAAAATCGTTGAATTGGAATCATGTCTTAATCAAATGCTCTAATGATTTCGCATACTGGTAAATCATATCTCAGGATTTAGTGTCAAGGCCTCCTGGTAAATCATATCCTTAATTTGCTCTTCAGACAAAATTTGCTGCTCAAAATCAAAGGAGAATGGCTTGAGGCATACTGGCTCATCAGCTGTATCATGTAATCTTTCAAGATAAGGATGCTCCAAAGCTTCTTCCACTGCACCAAAGGACCAAATTACCTATTTGAAAAACAATGATGATAATCTCACAATGAACAAATATTTAATAATGTATATCCTCGAATATTTTTTTCGGGTAGGTAAGTACACGATCCAGTCGAGTTAATAATTTTTTTCTTGTGTCACAGTCTTATGCATCTTGATTAAGTTTTAAAGTTGTTGGAAGTCTGGATCAAAGCAGAAAAAGATCTAATTAGTGACTGTATTTAATGATAACGGTAGAAAGTAGTTCACTAGCATAGCAGTGTTATTTTAGAATCAATCATATTATACAGATTAAAACGACGAACATACAAAGTAGACTGACATTAATAAATATGGTGCACTCTGCTGTCTCACAAACTGTTCTAGTAACTATATTTGAATTGAAAAGGGACACCATAATCATCATCATAAGACATCTTATTACCTAGTTTTGTTGTCTGAAATAGAAATGCAAAGCCTAAGTTTCAGAAAAAACTTAACTTGCAGAATGAGTTCCAACCTTGATTTGTATTTGTACAGCTCTCTGCTATCCTGTATCCTACATGACTCGAGGCACCTGCCTGGCTGCCTTAGACACTAATCAACTGCATCAAAGGAGGCTCACTAATGGATGAATCCAACTGAAGTACTTTAATCATCAATTTTGGTTGAAATCTTTGTGAACATATATTTGGTGTGAAATATCTTACTTTTCACACTCAGACAGCTGACTACAGGATTGAGCTTATTTACTCAGATCTGAGACCTCAAATCAAAGTTATATTTTCATTTATCTAGGAAATAAAGATGACCATGATGGTACAACTGTTTCTGATGTTACTGTCATTTACATGGTGATTAACGAGAAATTCATTTGAATCAACAGCTTTTTTCTTTATTGGTTATAATATGTGCAATTGCACACATATCAAACAAAATAGTTTAGGAAAGTAACAAAAGTTACCTGTAATTCTCTTCATGGGATTGATTGTCAACATTTTATCGATTAGATCAATGGCCAACGGATTTACACGAGGGAAGACCTTTGCTAAAGGCTGGCGAGGATGTCGAGAAAGTTGCCGGATGTATTTTCTTGCATCCTCATTTCGGGTGAAATCAAGGTCATCGTCAGTAGGCGTTCCCAGAAGCTACAAAAAAACGTTATCAAGCATAAGCAATTGCCAGCAACTCGTTAATCATGTGGAAGATTTGATGTCAATAGTTATCTCAATTAGTTATCAATGAAAGAGGTTGGCTATAATTTTTAAATACATATCAATACTCCTGTCTCTAACATGTAATTGGCTAACAAGAGAGCAGATTTTAGACAGGGAGGGACATTACAATCCCCATAACTAGATATGTAACTAGTACATTAATAAAAATTGAAGCCTTAGATGCTAGCTTGACTACTTGAGATTGTAACATTTAGTCTCACCTCTATCAATAAGTGCATTTGATGCACGTGATCGTTTCCAGCAAACAAAGGTTTCCTGTTCATAAGCTCCATAAAGATACAACCAACTGACCACACATCGATTGCCGCAGTGTATTATGAAGAGTTCAACAACAGTTCAGGTGCCTTGTACCATCTGTTCACAACATATTCTGTCATGAACTCATTCTCTACGGCAGGTCGAGCAAGGCCAAAATCACAAATCTTAAGATCACAACTAGCATTCAACAACAGATTGCTGGGCTTCAAATCCCTATGGATCACATTGGCAGAATGTATGTACTTTAACCCTCGAAGTATCTGATACAAGAAGTACTGAAAGTAGACTAAATGTTAGTGCTGGCTTGTAATTTTTGCTAAACAAAATTGAAATTAGAAAAGAAAGTGTTACCTGAGAATGTTCCTCTAATAAGCTCTGATTAGATTGAATTATTTGGTGAAGATCAGTGTCCATGAGTTCTGTAGCAATATAGACGTCACTGAAGTCCCTCCTTAAAGGAGGAGAAATAACATCTCGTATACCAACAACCTGTAACCATTTTTGAGCTTAGTACCTTGGCCTAAATTAATATCTTACCAGACAACACGAAATTCTTACCTTTTCATTTGGTGGTAACACAATCAAGCAATGCAAAACGATATAGCTAGTAACCCTGACTTTTTATCTCAAAATTGAAATCATAATATCCAATCTATGCACAGCTTCAAAATCACAATACAAAAATTAAAATCTACTTTTTCAATGTAAAATCGACGT